AGTTTCTGTTGGGAACCGACGTGGCGGGAGGTAAAGTGTCGGCATCCGCTATTGCCTCTAATAATCTTCTAGAGGAGCCAGAAATTCCTTCCCTGGAGGAGAAGTTTCTAGAAACTTTCCCCGAGTGTGCAGTGACGAGATCTCGGATGAAACAGACGGAAAAAGATGTTGCAGATTCAGTGCCAATAGAGGAGGAGAACTCTGGTGTTTGGCTGGCTGAAACTTTCTTCACCAATTTGGAAGAAGATGAGGGAGTGTCTCAAGATGCTAAGTTAAGCCGATTTTCGCTCATGAAGAAGCAGAAAGGGGACAAAAGAATTTGTTTCTATTGAATCTGCATGAATCGAAGGGCTGGTGTACACACTGAAAATAGAACGAGCGCTTCAATCATCCTTGTAGAAACGAAGGAGTTTGTAGCTTTAATGAAACAGTTCCTTATGAACACCCCATTTTAAAGAATGGAATAGGTGCACAGGCCTGTTGCATAATGCGCTCAACACACACATCCCTTCCGTCCCCCTTGTGCTTGACCGGGCTTAAACGTACGTTTAAAAGCGGCTCAGGAGAATGGATGCAGCTAATGCTCTCGCCTGCAGCTCGGGTATTATTAGCGTTGTCTGCTGATGTAAGATCGGCACATATTATTTTATTCCCATTGATAAATACCTTTGAATTCAGAGAGTCAAAAGAAGTCAACATGTGATGGATTTCCAACGATTTTTTCAAGAAGTCCATTTTATGGTATGTTCCTTTTGAAAGTTATCCAACAGAATTGTTTAAATGGACTTGGAGCTTTCCTTTCTGTTGCTTTTAAGAAATAAAAAATCACGAAAGCAACAACAATACTCCACAGTGAGTTTCCTTTGTTTTCTGTCCTGATTCTATTGTTTGTTTTTTTCAATTGTTTGCAAAAATGTGTATATATTTTTTTTAATAAATCCTCGGTTCTTACCATTAGTTTGTAGGCCTAAATAAGTCTTAACCCAACTACAAAAACTGCACTTGTAAATTCACCGTGTAAATTCATTCAACCACATTATTATAAAAAAAATATCCGCGGGAAGGACTTTCATTTACACATTTCTGAATTTTCAGGAATAGGCCCCTATTACGAATAAAAACAGCCCAACGGACATTACGACTGATACGAGCTCATTTGTGTCTGCAATATATCTATCGAAATTCAAACATATTCCCTTTCTTTTCGTTCCATCTCTTAAACATCTTCGTTAAAGAATATTTCTGAGCTAAGAATTTTGAGATTGATTTGCAACATCCAAAAATTAAAAATATAAATGTAAAAAAACGCAAACCTTCACCGCCAACTGTCCACGTTTTCTGAATCCACACTATGCGTAAGTGTACGCTTGTCCTATCCAGTCTTTATAATGCGGGGATCAATGCTCATATCCATGTGCCAGCGCGTGGTTTACGTAGCGGGCGTTATCACTTCTCGGAGGGCGTTATCAAATGTTAATACATGGTCACATGTCGCTTTCCGATAAATAGGAATAGAAAAAATGTCCCAGATATTAATAAGGGAATAAATAGAAGTTTATGACTTAATATAAAATAAGTCTTAAACGTGCGTTAAGCCTGGTTTCCATGTCAACATAAGAAACGCAGAGAGCAATCAAGACGCAAACTTCAACGCCGACAAATGGAAACGTGTCAAATGGAAGTACCGCCGATAACGCAAACCAGCCCCAGACGGATCGGCAAAGTTGAGCCTGGTTCAACTTTGCCGACTCTCTGCGTTAAGTCGCTAAGTAGGCCTATACAAACACGCACGCTGGCATGACAGGCGTACAACGATGCTCCTCTCGCTTAGTACCACCCATTTTGTCCATTTTCTTCTCACTGCTAACATTACAACCCCAATCGTCAACAAAAATAACTGACCATTAACAAATTACATCAAACAGGAGTATCAGTTTAGCTTCAAGAGGCGACATTGCCACCTAAAAAAGGCGTTTTTTGCAAAAGGTTTTCGTGTTTCGGACGCCATTTTGTTTCATTTCATTTCGTCTCTTCCACGACTGTCTTCGTCTTGACGTCTTGCGTGCCGTCGGCGTTCGTTACGGCCATTATACAAACCAAGCTTCAAAGGCTTCAGGAGACTGGACGCAACCTATGCCCGAGTCGCAGACGAGGGCATCATCAGCGTCCAGTCTCCTGAGCTGGTCTTAAAACATAGGCCTATGGAATTTCATTTCTGTCAATTACGCAGCGGTGTAAATGGCAAGATACCAGGAATAAACAAAGCGACGATGCGACAATGCGACACGACTATGCAACGGCACGACGCAACGATGCAACGGCACGACGCGACGATGCAACAGCACGACGCGACGATGTGCCGTTGACAGCGGAAGTGGCTGCAGACCCAAGGGAGAATGCCCCACATGCACGCGCCGCGTAATTGGCAGAAATGGAACTACATAAACGCTCTTGACTTTTATAAAAAGACTAAACTTTTTAACACTGTTATTTTGATGGAAATGACACTGATTGTATTGAACATTTTTCTAGTTTTCTACACGCATGCGCTGACCCCCCCCCTTGACATGCTCCTTGTATCCTTATGCTTTTATTTCTTATAAACTGCAGGCAAAGGGTTCTTGGCAAGCCTGCGTGGGCGCGTTGCCCCTTGCCACAATCTAGTACTTTTTATTTTTCCCCCCCAAATCAGGTTAATCCGTTGTGACATTTTATCCTCAATTTGTAACATCGTAATAAAGTTTTCATTTCATTTATCATTTCTCAAGGCATAAACAAATACAAAACGTACAAGACAACAATACAACTACAATGGCAACAGCCTTGATGGATTACCAAATGCGAACTTAATCACAGTCGAGTGGCTCTCCAAATGTTACCATGCTACAAAAACGGTTTAAATAAAGGATCTATAAAATATGCAAAACTAAAAAATAGAGTAAAAACAACAATGGCCACTCACCATGTCACATCTTTACAGAGAATAAAAAACCCTACATCTGAATCAATAGGCCCAAGCCCCACCAAAAAAAAAAGTCACTCAGATCCATCCCAGGAAAAAGAAAAAAATAAATAAAAGTGAATAATAACAATAACTGCAGAAAGATGTGGAATGGTCCATGCTCATTCTAAACACAAAAAAGTCATGATGAATAAGAACATTAATTTTAAGAATAAGATACAATTAAATATAATATTGTCGCGGCTATAAATAAGTATAATCTTTAATAGGAAGAATTTGAAGTGCATGATGATCCGTAATAGATGAATTGACCACAGATACAAGAGTAAATTACGTAAGAATTGATACATGTAGTACATTTCTAGGCATAAAATTCAACCGTTGTACAAGGTGACAGAAAGTATTTACGTAGGCTACTATGGAACTTGGACAAATTGAATAAAAGTTTTTCTCTAACAGTTGCTGACTCTATCACACAATTGCATTTTAGATATCAAGTTCCTATTTATTTGAATTTAGATTTTATCAGAAAAGGATAGGAGTCAACATTTCTAACGGTTTCAGATTGCTTTTGGATTATTGCTTGGAACCATTAGACTGGATTGACCCCTTCTGATCCAATTTAATACACGCCCATCTTTACTGGTCACGAATTGAACCTTTGGCGTTATGGGAGCCTTACGACGTTATGGGAGACATAATCATTTCTGACAGCTGAGACCCAGTGAAGGGAAATATTTACATGTGTAAGTGCCATGACGTCAGTGCCATGACGTTATGTGGTGAGTCACTGAAATAAAAGTAATGACTTTTAACAACACTCAATCGCGTCTTAATTCATCGTTTAATTGAAAACTAATTCCTCGCGTTAACTGTAAAAGTTGTTTACTAAAAGGTAGCTTTCGAGGAAGCTCCATAAACACAGATTATACAAGATATCGTTGAGAAGAAATTTGTGAACCACGGCGCTGAATACACCGTCACCGCTGTACAGAAATGGGCTGGGTCTGTAACGATTTGTCGACACTTAAGTTATTCACATTCGCAGGCGTTGTGTGTATATGGCTTGCTGTATTCTACTACGGGCCCCGTCATCTGTTCGCTGAAGCTGCTAACCCTGTGCCTGGTGAACTACCGAGTGCATTCACTTCCACTCAGACTCTAAGCAAACTGCGGAGCTTGTTATGTGGAAGGTAAGTTATGAAGTATTTCATTTACGCTATTGCATATCCCGCTATCCCCGTTCACACTAAAAACAATTTCAAGTCAGAGTAACTTATTACAGGGTGTGTTTTGAATAAAGAAAGCGTTCATAGTAGAATCCCCTGAAAAAGTTTGTTCACAAGGTTTGTCATACTTGGCAAAAGTAGGGTCTCAACTTATCCACGTTTTGGCTTGATAAGAAAGGCAAATAATATCATTCCATAAAATGTGTTCGTTCGAGTGTGCCATTTTCGCAACTGACTTCTTTCGATTTATATTTTCCCGTCCTCACCGTTTCATCAGAACTGTATCTTTTGCGGAAATGCCTTGCTTTGCGGAAATGCCGGATAAATTAGTTTATTCCTGCCTCATTGAGTCACGCTGCTTAGGTATTCGTTTTGATGTTTATTTCTACTTTAGGTTGTTTTCCCATGAGAAAGATAGATATGAAGGAAAAGATTAATTGTTGTTATCTTTCCGGTCATGTAAACAGCAAGCTTCTCATGAAGATAAAACTAAACCGGATGCTTCATGTGTATTTGTAGTAGTTCAACTTTCTTTTTCAAAATTAATGTTGACAGTGTTACTTATTTCAATGGATTGAAACTGGTCTCTACGAAAGCCCACTGGTGCCATGAAGCATACATTTTCAAAAAGTGAAGTATACTCTTTTAAATTTTATCTGTATACCTATTTCCTATGTAAATTTCACGAGATATATTTTCCAAAGTTTGCTTTAGTCTAGATAGTTTTAAGCCCGTGTTACGAGGTGTATTTTTATAAGCGTATGTGTTTCTGACAAATATCGTTTTACGCGAAACATTTTTTGCAAGTTTGTTTTAGGACAGAACATTTTTCGGAGGATGACGTCTTATTTATACAAGAAGGCTTGTACAGACAGGCTTGGAACTTGTTCATTTTGGAAAGCGTCATAGCTTCACTGTTATCAAATCACTATCAATACACCGGTAAATATTAATTGCATCGTGGCCATCGAGGGCCGGGACTCATTCACCGGCTGTCTGTCTCGTAAAAACGGATGTTCACAAAAATAGACCATAAAACAAACTTTAATGTCTCCAAAGAACAAACTTGACAACAAATATATCTCTCCTCCAAAAGCAAACAAATTAAACAGTATATCTCGTGACAACGATTTTTCCCCCAAATAGAAACAATGTGTTCAAAAATAGCTTCCATAAATGCAAACTTTGAAAAACAATTTACTTCACATCTCAAAATGCGTATCTCGTGGCACTAATGGGTGTTCGTAGGTCTCATTAACTTGCAACGTCATTTCTTTATAGATGTAGTCATCATGCTCAAAATCGCCTGAAGCAAATATGCCGTGACTATGGAAGGAAGGACGTGTGTTACTGGCTATGCGGATGCAGCAATTATGACAAGAAATGTCTGGCCGAAGGGATCTGTACATGTCCGTTTAACATTGAGGAAGGTAGGCCGCCATTTTCATTCCTGCACAGTCTACACTTAGATTGGGAACCCGAATGAACGTGTTTGCCTGCCTCCTTGAAAGGTGGGTTTAAGTGTTACAATATTTTCCTCTCGCTGAGACTTGCAATTAACCCAATGCTTATCAAATAAATGTTTAACTGCCAGTTCGGATATTTTTCATATCCTCATAATGATGCTGAGTTCTCATTCATGAGCAGAAAAATTGACAAAAATTACACCTTTCGATCGCTGTTGTTATTTCTTACCTTTTGTGATCTCTTCTTGATTTGGTTAGGTGATTAAACAAAGTTGCTGTGAGTAACATTTTTGATTCATAATTTGTCCATGAAATGCCCAGTTATTTAAGGACTACAGTGGCGTAATTTACATCGTTGTGAAGGGTAATGAGGAAGGTACAATCTGGAAGGTGGACGGCCGGCAAATTCGAAAACCGGGGGGGGGGGGTACTCGACACCAAATTACATTTGTGGGCACTTTATGCCGCTGTTGATTACAAAGAAGTACAAATATCCAATTATGCTTGTGTCCTAATACGAGCCTCAAACTTGAATGAAAACGGTGTTTTTTAAAGTTTTATGCAATTTGAGTGTTGCTGTTGAAATGTAAAGCAAATAACCTAAAATCCGCAATTTATGTTTCTCAAGACTGAATATTAAGGGATTATAATGATTCAGTGGTCTTTTCCCTTTCCAAAAAATGTAGACGGTGATATATACTTCCATTCCCTCAATTTACACTCATGATTCACTGTTTACACTGATTATTAACTGAAGCGCCGATTTGACAGTAAGAATATCATTGACTTTGTAAGAGTTTTGTCATCTTCGTACATTTCAGATGCATGGACATTGTCCCAAAAGTGTCAGTTTGAAATTCAATCAAAGCCCCTTCAATGCAGTTTTACATCATCGTGCCGATATCGTCGAAAATCGTACGTCAGGTTGTCCACAGCAAGGTCATACAAGTCCTTTGACCTTAGAGGAACACATCGTCCCGGATTGCCCCCTTTCCGACAACAAAACGCATTCCATACGAAGTCATAATGGAAATAACAAGTCTTACTTTAAAGTACTGTTGCGCACTCGCAAATCTTTGAATTCTAGCGCCCCCTAGTTTTACTCGTTCTCGGTCCTTGCATTTTCAGGGTCTCTTATTTAGCTCAGCTGTGCATTATGGACATGTAGCAGAGATGCTAATTTTGTACTCTGTACTCTGGCGTGATCGCGTGTTCCTTCACTCCTTTATCCTTGTGTTTTCTCTGCTCAGTTCTGGCATGTCGAAATTCCCCTCCACGTGGCTGCGTGGTTGGGCGTGGTAAGGTGAGGGTGGTAAGGGCGTGAAATGCTAATGTCCAGAAACCTCAGACTTTGTAACTGTCAATCATTCGCCATAGATGATCGGGTAAGCACTTTCACGCACCCGGCTCTACACTTTGTACACGTGACTTCTTATTCGGTATTTTTACCTTTTTACACACGACACTTTAGATTCTTGCACACGACCCTAGCAGGAAGTTATGTGACCCTTTGAGATGGAAGATTTTTATTAGTTGAGCTGTTCAGCGACGCTCATATTTTATTAATTCCTAACCCTCTAGAATCCTATAAATAGAGCAGATTTTCCCTAGCTCGTCGGATAGGTGCGGCGGACCAAACCCTAGTTGCGAGAGCGGAACCTAACGTAGTGCGGCGGTTGGACCCTTTCCGAGAGAAGTGCGATAGTAACCATTCTTATGGCGAAGAAATGTAACCATATGAATGACCAGCTAGCTTAGCTTGGACCGATGCGATAGCGGTACGAATTAGCCCAGGGTGCTAGTGAGAGTCGTAGCAGCCCGTCACCGCTACGTCCGAACCGATTGCCGGGCGAGACACCCCCGGGTCCCTCGCCACCCTTGTCCTGCTAACTAGCCCAGTCCTCCCCGTCTCTACGCTGAGCCAATGGTGCACAGTGCGGCGATCTTATCATTGCGCTCATCACGTTGCGGTCTGAGCGGCAGTGCGGTCGGTACATACCGGCACTGGCCCCGTCCAGCCCTTGCTCGTCACCATGGAGGTCCGGGACAGCTCCCACCACGGCCCGGCCCGATGTGTGTAGCCTAGTTGTGCGATGCTACACACACGTACCGTAACCTACTCTCTCTGCGGACTTGCATTGCCAATGGTCCTGCCAAACCGTAGTTTAGTTACCCTCGTATACAACTTCGCCTCTCTATAACTTTGCCTTTTGTGCATTATATTATGCTAAGTTACACCTTCTTCAAACCCACATTGAACTTTGATGAAGAGAAGTGAGAGCAATAAACCAACCATACAGTTTGACTGTCACCCAAAGCCCTTGTTTCACGTCCACCCTTTAATAAATTGTTGACCCCAAATATCACATCCTTTAGACACTAATAAAGTCCATGCTACCATCGACTTGATATTTATGGAACGCAACAGTACCATAAAGTTGTTCATGAACCCTTAGAATGAGTAGTTTTTGTGTGGTGGCGAATGACAGAATTTTGAGTGCCAAAACTTGACTCACCGTGAGAAAAGAGATTGAGTGGTGAGAGCACTAGTCACAATTGGAGTCACAGTTTCTTCATTATTTAATAAAGATAAACATTGAAAATCAGTTTACCCGCTCGTAACATAAGGACAACAATTACAATTTGTGGGGAAAATGATCAGCGAAACAATAAAACAGATTTTCAATGTTAGTACGTGCACGTTTTCCAAATCAATGACATTTGAAGATATCTCTATACCGAAATGACAAGTCATCCCACAATCCCCTATATCGCCCCAGTTCCCGGCACAAATTGATGATGGCAACGACGGTGATTCCGCAGTGACGTTGACTGTACCAACTAAGATGACAGTGGTGAAACTTATGATGATGAAATTATGCTGATATCGTTAAATTATGACAATGACCATGAAAATGACGATGGTATTTACAACAGGTATGGTGATGATGTTGATAATGATGATGGGAAGATGAAAATAAAGAAAATAGACCTCTTGTTTTGGCAAAGATTACATTTCAGCAATCTTGCACGACAGGTTGCTCAAGGAGTCAAACGCTGTGCGTGTTCGACGATGCGTTGATATGCTCCACACCAAAAGACATATGTGTCTACTACGATGAAAGGAAAACGCATTGTGAATGCAGAGGGGGTTGGACAGGGGAAAACTGTCAAACATGTGGTGATGGATCAATAAAGTAAGAAATCAATGTTTTCTTTTGTGCTGTTTGTTTTCCTAATGACTGACACTCTTCATCAAATTCATTGCGATTTTTTGAGCTCCCATGTCAAATGCCCAAACCGTATTTTATTACAATTTCTTTGAGGGGAATGCCCATTAGGACTTTGCCAAACAAAATAAGGGAGGAAGACAGTGGAAGACAGTGTGGCATATTTACTTCTTACTTCACTTGTGCTTGTGCTTTGTTTTAAAATGAGCATGCAGAAAAGGCGAGTTTTACAATAAAAATAATATATTCGAAAACGGCGCCTTCTTCTCAAATTGAAATATAGTTGTGGTTCATCTGTCTTCATGCAGTATTCATCTGGGTTAAATAAGGTAGCCTATAGATAGACTGTAACTTGTGTAAGCCATCTATAGCCCATTAATGTAGCTTATAATCTATGTGGGAATATTCTGAAACATGAAGTTTTAAAACTTTTAACATGCTTCATAATAAGAGGTAGCAATGAGAACACGACAAATGTGTAAAGCGAGAACATCGGTGCAAAACGTGTGTGTCGTGCCAAAAACATCGCCCTTATCCTTATTCACGCTCACCATCACACTAAAGCAGTGAGTGAGTGAGTAAATTCAATGATATCAGTAATGTAGACTAATTTCATATTCAGCAGTGGATTGCACGGACGTTAGATTTTGATACCTGAGCGTGCGAATGTGTTTTGACTGCATGTTCGTATGGTGCATTTGGGTGAAAATAATGTTAGACTCTCGGAAAATTACGGGTATTGGGGAAAATTGGGGAAATTTTGAATATTTTGTAATGAAAATGTGGTTTACCAAAACAAATATCAAGAAATTTTGGATAAAGTGAACGTATTTCGGTACAGATAAAATTCGTTCAGGACAAACTTGCCCTCCTGATGGTGCTGCTGTTGATTGCTTGGCTGGCTGGCTTGCAGGTTGACTGGCTTGCTTGCTTGTTTGGATTTGTTAGAAAATGAAAGCGTTTATATTTTCTAAAAGATACGACCACTTTTCTTTGAGGGGTGAGGAGGGTTCTTTCAAGAATGAAAAAATGGCCCGCGTTTGAAGAGAAAATCCCACTTGCCTCCCCTTGCCTTTGCGGGTAGAGTTATCTATACCAAAAGGAAGAGGAATAAGTCAAGGAAGCCAGCAACAAAAGTCCATCTTCAAAAGCTTTCGAAGTGTACGAAAAATGATAATTTTTTTTCTGATTTTTTTGGAAACTATACGAACACAAACATAAAAGAATGTCCAAACTATGTAGGTACTGGAAACATTCATGTGTTTCCGTCGCTTACTTCTGACCGTATCTGTGGATATAAGAGCATACAGTTCGGTTAAGGTGGACCATTACTGGAAACATTCATGTGTTTCCGTCGCTTACTTCTGACCGTATCTGTGGATATAAGAGCATACAGTTCGGTTAAGGTGGACCATTACTGGAAACATTCATGTGTTTCCGTCGCTTACTTCTGACCGTATCTGTGGATATAGGAGCATACACTTCGGTTAAGGTGGACCATTACATCTTTTAATGATTCGATCTCACCTGCACGTTTTGCTGTTCTCTTTCCTATCCAGCTGTGAGGTGGATGACAAGTCCTCTGAGACTCCATCTTCGGGATCTGATCTGACCATCAAGGTGCTTGTTATAGCATGTGTAGTTTGTCTTATCCTGGGCCTGCTACTAGGTATTTTCTGCATGTGCCGCACAGGAAAACTTGTCTGTATCACTACAACACGGTAAGAATTTACGAGCTGTTTATATAATCCTGTTTGACATTCGTTGAGGAGCAAACTTTTGTTCTTCACGTTGTGTCAGTTTCAGGCCCAAATAAGTCAGTATTTCAGTTTTTACATTGTGGCCATCGTGATAGCGGAAAGCTATCCGCCCAGTCTGTGGGGAATTCCTTCCTCAATTCCTAAATCCTCCTTAGTCCTTGAGTCTGGCGAGCTATCAAAAAGACCAGGGTTATGGGTCGTTTTAGCGAAAACATATATATCACTGATTGGTGATTGATGGGAAACTCGGTCAACCGACCAGATTTATCGGCAGGATCAAAAGGAACTACTTTTACATTCTTCTCATTTCTCAAGAATTATGGTATTTACACAATTGAGTTCCAGTCACACTCTATTGTACGGGCGATTCACAATACTGGGCGCCCGATTCTCTAAAAACTTCCGAATTTTCAACCCACGCGGCATAAACGCGGCGCAAAGAACTTTTTGTGGACCGTTTTCTCACAATGCAAAAAAGGCCTATCCTTACTGGCGTTGTTCTAGAGCCAATATCTTTTTTTTGGGGGGGGGGGAGACCCTTCGCACTTGACGTCACCTTTTTGCCTTTTTCGGGGGGGGGAGAGTGCTAGAGAAAAGTTTTTTTTGGGGGGGGGCTACAGCCCCCAGCCCCTCGTGGACCCGTGCCTGTCTCCGTGGTAGTCTGGTTTCCTGACCTGGAGATTTCTGACGACTTTTGATAAAATATTAGGTCAGGTACCACCTACGATTAAAAATAGTCAATGACACAACATGTCAGCGGTCACCGGGGAAAGCGGGGCCTCGTCCAGTGACCACGAACTTCATTTAAAAAATAACAACTGTGGTCAGGGCACAAAGCTATTTCATTTCATTTATTTCATTTTCGGGTGTACTTTACACAATCCACACTGGCACGAAATACACACCAAAAAACATTTCTTTTCAGACGTAAAACTGGAGCAATTAATCAGCCCCGCTGGATTTCCCAAGCAAAAGAAAAAAAAACCGATGCTGGCATTATAGTGACTTCTTCAGCCCTAGTGCATGCCGAAGTATCATGTAGCCAACGTTTGGCATGCACAGGGCTTATCCACTACGGACACTGGGCGAAGGTTCCCCTCGTTTTCTCAGAATGACGCAATCTACATTCAGAATCCGCATCTTGGCATGAACAGAAAAAAGCCCTTTTAAGCTTGTTATAGTTGAGCTCTGAAAACAAATGGCACTGCGTTCGATTTAGATGCTTCCATATGTTTTTGAACAGATAAAATCAGAGAAAACGTGTTTTCCTTAGAGGTGCTCTTTAACCAAGCACCTTGCATAGGCTAGTGAATGAGATTCTAGATAAACGTCAGACAGCCTGGGCGAGGAAAGTCCATCTGGACTATGAATGGAGGCAAGGGTAGCACCTAGCCCAGGTTGGACGACGTCTACATTGCATTTCGACTAACGTCCAGGGTATAAAAGTCCTCCTACTATGCGAAAGTTTTTCAACATTTTTTCTCCCATTTTTACCTGACCAAGCCAGGTCAAAATGTCGTTCACAAGTGCCTGGTATCCTGAATTCCATAAATGCTGTGTTGAAATTACTAAATACGCCCGCGGAAAACGTATTTTGCAGGAAATTGTGAAACTCTGCGGTTTCCGTCGCGATTCGTGAACGACCTATATATGTGGCAACTATGATGTTTGTTGGTGGGGCTGATACTGACGTTGGAGTAACACCAGCAAGTAGCAGTTCATCAAGGCCGAACGGTCAAAGCTAAAAGGCAGTGCTTGAAGTGTGGAGCTCTTACCAATATCCCGTGGGTAGAGAATTGTCCAAATACTGCTTAGACAACTGACCTGCACTCACGGCCGCCGACACGCCCGCCATCTTTCGTATACTTTCAATTTGCATAATAGGTTAATGTGTGCTGACTCCCTCGCTTATGATATGCTACCCCATCGAAAAACTATTAGAAAAACATAAATTCCTGACAAACTGAAAAAAGCCTCGTGGGTGCGCCACTCTTGCATGTGGTCTCCGGTCCAGCCGCTTTGCAGTTAGACATAAACACAGCCGCGAAGGCCTTCACGAAAGGCTGGGGATAGGGTAGCACCATGGGTCGTAAGGCCAAGCCAGTATATTATGGCGTTTGTGTGAACATGGTCAAGCATTTCAAGTTGAGGTTCACATAGCTCGTGGAATGTGAGCATGTGTCTTAAAGAAGGGAAAGCATAGTTAGAATAAATACGCAGTTGGACTCATCCCTTATCATGGAATCATTTACATTTTTGATAACACTACTCAAATTGTTTTTTAAATCATCAAAAATGTCCTAGGTTTTCCCTTTAAAAGTAATCGAACTGCCCAAAAACTTCTCAGGTGCACCCTTCACGGACTGGGGTAAACATCGAATTTATAATTTTTTTGAAATGCTTACGTATTTATTGTTATTTTGAAATACTTCACGTGAACTAAATGTTTTCAGTTTCTGTTAACCTTTAAAGAGGAGGCTAACTCAGAATTTCAACCTCTCATTTTCGATAGGATCAACGAACATGTAGAAGAGAAAGATGAAACTGAAGGACGCAGACAGCCCAATCCTCCAGTAACCAGGCAGCAATCCGAACATCGGTATTGTCCCATCATTCAGTATGCTGTTCCTGATCATTACCCCACGGCTAGTAGTCATCCTGCCTTAGATAAAGCCTCCGACAGAGGGTACACAGAGCCAAATACCACACACCATCAGCAATCAAACACTAGGCATGGGAGAGATCAGGGTAACTACTACTTCAAATTAGAGTCTGCCTCTCCGATTGTCACTTACGAAAGTGTTCCCCCGGGAATGGAAAAAAACAGCAATTCAGCTGCTACCTCACTGACAGAATCCAAGGATGAATTAACACAATTTGACGTCATCACCAAAGAGCTGGATCAAAGTCCCGGAAACAGTGAATCTAAATTTAATGCCTGCCAGTCTAACCAATATGATCATCTAAAACGCCAGATGGACGTCAATATTAGCGACAAATCCCGTAATTACAGCCATATAGCTTTACAAGAGTTTCTCTAGGTTGCTTGCACATTGCTGGCTCCAAAACACTAAAACGGTTCTAGTTGTAGAAAACGTTCATCACCCCTGCCTTTATTTATTAAAATTTGATGAACAAATCAGAGCTTGTTACTTTCATACTACTGAATAGTTTGGTAATTCATTTTATTATAAACCGTAACGTGTCGTTGACGTCCAATGTCCCATTTATTAGCTGAATGAGAGGAACGTGTCACGCAAAGTCCCTCATTTTTCAAAACCACGATAACACTGCATGACAGATATAATCGTGTGGGAGTGTCTCCTGGAAGGTGTTTGTAGGCTTAGTTCGTTTTAACGACTTATCATCTGGTTTAAACAACGTAGCTATCTCGTATAAACGACATTATCATTTAATTAATCCTGAAAGAGCCGGGTTGTTTTGGCTCAATCTCGTAGTCAGTGGGACGGATTCCGCCCTCCCCCTCCTCTTAAGAACTCGGCTATGCCACATTATAATTTTGTTGAAACATGACATGCATGTTAAGACACTCCTTACAATAACAAATTTGAAGTTTGAAGTCATTCAGACATATATGGTTTTGTTGGTACGACCTCCTAAGTGTGGTTACCTGTATCGGAACAGTCCCGGTAGTCAATTTAATAATGCGGACGCGCAATACAGTTACACTCAATGACCCTAGTCGGTCTCTATTTTTTTTATCTCATCGTTACATTCCACTGTTGGTTGCGACTCTCGCATAACAAATATCATTATTGAAATTAAATTTATTTTATTACTATTATTATTATTGTTATATATTTCTATTAATGACACCAAGGATTCCTCAAAAGCGCCCTAGGCACACTGTAGCTCGCAAAGCCTGAAGAAACCTGTAGAAAGGAGACAGTGAGAAGCAGTTACAGTTTTAGCGGTGGGAGGAAAAACCCAAAGGAATATTCTGGGTAAAATCTACGGAATCAGGTAAGGACTGAAAACCCAATCCGGGCCGGGATTTGAACCCGGGCCGCAGAGGTGGAAGACGAGGAAAGAACCACTACGCCAACCTGAATCTCGTACAATTATTTTCATGTGAATGGTTGTCCCCGTAATCAAAGAAATTTGGAGGGGCTGCGTAGCATCGTGATCAGAATATTAACAAGAATATAATATAAAATATAATATATAGGCCTAATATTTATGGAACACAGACAGTATAATTTTTTATATATCATGTACAAAAGGCCACAATAATTGCAATACATGCTCACCGGATTTACTAATACACACAGCTGGCATGACCACCTCCAACTTCCTGTGGGGCTATTTCCATAAACCAGTATGTACGTGTGAATATTTCTGGAGAGTATTTTCTGATGTGCCCGGGACATAAGACCACAACAATTGTGACCTGTAAACACTGAATTTTGAAAACTGATGAAATGCACACAGGATCATCTAAGCCGATTTGACTACATGTATTCACATAGACAGTGTGAATAGTGCATATATGTTTACACAGTGCCAACATTTTTTTTAATGACAGGGCTTGTGTGGAGTATGCTGGAATATAAGCCAAGATGGCAGATGTGGACTTTCAATCAGAACTGAATAAACCAAAAAATTAGATCTTTGTCTAAAATCTCCAAATTATGATAATTTGAACCTTGTTAACGATTTTGACCCCCCTATTCCATTTCACTACCATGGATATGTACCTGGTGATTACAAATTATTGTGCATATTGTAGTGGAAATCTGGTACGTGGTATAATAAGAAAAGCTATCATTTCATGAACTAATCTGTTTACTTGCAGCTTTGTAGACTGGAAAGTATTTCTGATTATGAAATGAAACAAAGAAATATTGCATGCTCAACTGAAGAAATGTTAATGCATATTTATGAACAGGACACCAAATACCTGAAATGTCATTCACCCAAATAATGGATCTGGCAACTCTTCTTAAAAAGCTGTGGAGTAAGTTATGAGAACAATAATATCATGCCTATTCTGTTAAATGCTAGGCCTTGTATGACGTATGTATACCTGGTATAAAAGGGTTAAAATTGTCCCAAACTTTCCAGGTGAAGATGCACTATTATATTTTGGGGTTTTTTTGCCAGGTAAAGTGGTAGTACCCTCACTTGGAATTTGTAAATAGGTAATCCTTGGTTGAAAATTTCTGTGAAATAAGTCAAAAGTGATGCTGCCGAATAACTAAGGATCCTGAATGTGTGTCTCACAACTTCATGAAGTACCTGTGGAATCCAACCACTCTTAGCAATGCTCAAGGAAAACCATACACTGAATGACCAAGAGCTCACTAAGTCAACCTAGGTACTTTTCATCTGACAGTAAGAGTGAGCCAACACAACAGTGTAATGGGAAAATTATGTCCAAATACATGTATTGCAATTAATCCAACAAATGCATGCTACTCAGGTCATGAATTAATAAATTGACAACTACATGTATATACACTATGATATGCTAAAACCAATTCAACTTTCCAAAATGGACCATAAGGGCAATGAGCCCCAAGCTGGACCAAGAGAGGGGGCAATTTTCCTAGAAACGCAGGCTTCTTTAGCAGTAACTGAACTTGGCCGGTTCACAAATGCCTGTGAAGTGTAC